CCAAAAATGCTTGAGAGGGAAAAACCATAGTGACATTCGCACAAGGACAACGGGAACAGCCTTGGCCAGCAGGATTCGATACATTGGCTGCAACAGTGTCGAACAGAACGCAGGCCTGAGAAAAGCAACGCGATCCCATTGCTGCCAAGCCGCTGGACTGCTTTCAGAGTTGCACACTACAGAACAAGATAAACTGCCCCTCCTAAAGAGTTAGGAAAAAAATAAGTAAGTGTTCAGAGAATATGCCCACCTCATGCAGATAAAATTAGCAGGCTGGACATACCTATTAACCCCTTTTTTTAAGAAAATAAGYATTCTGTGCATCTCTTGGTGCTTACACACACAGATATATATATATAATCAAAAAAAATCTGATCACATTTACTCTCTTTCTCATTACACTTACTTTCTATATCTCTGGAAAAAAATATATAGTCTTAAGCCAATTCAAGACAGTTTTCCACCTGTGAATAACAGGCAGCATTAACATTATGGAAATCAGCACACACTTTCCAAATATGTATTAAGGTGGGAGAGCATATTAGAAGTTCATAAAAAAAATCTACCATGTAGAAATGGTAACCATGGAGTAAAAAACATTTTGACAATTTAAAATTTCATAGAGAATTACTGCAAGCATTGCAGGTAATTTTTGCTCGAACACGCTCAGAAATACCATGGTCTTTTATTTCTTAGGGTCAACTGGCAGTTGTTGCAGGCAGCTAGTGCTATCTGCTGATACAGGAAAAGTTGCTCTTTTAATAAGTTCAATATTCATCAGGCAGGACCTTTGGAAGATACAAAGAGCAGCTGAACTCTCAACTTGGAGCCTTCCCAGAGAACTGCACCTTCGAGAACAGGGCCCGCAGCTCGGCAAGTCTGGCCACAGTGAACAAGTAGGCACAGGGAAATCAATGAAAAGCTTAGAAGGACAAGGACAAAAGACTACAGGAAAGCCCCTCACAAATCTGGCGGCTCTCAGTTGAACTCCATTCCTCAGTATCCCAAATAGGGAAAAAAAAAAAAAAAAAAAAAAAAAAAAAAAAAAAAAAAAAAAAAGGAAATCAATATATGGAAACCATCAAAGGAATGCTACTCAGGCACAGCTTTGCAAATCCCATTGCCCTTCATAAGCAGAGAAGCCAGCATAGATCATGTTCAATATGGGAGGCTGCTGCATCAATTTTAGAAGCAAATCTTCCATCAAAACCAATAGCGAATTTGTCTTCAGACTTGAAGAAGAAATCCTACAGGATCTGAGCTGCTCTGATATCAGAGCCTTCTCCCAGATGCCAGCCTTCCGCAAGGAACAAGTGGCTCAGTTGCACGGTGCTGCAGGCACAACCCAGAAGATCGTGGACAGGAGACAAATCTGAGGATCTACCCTTGGCTAGCATCAAGAGCAGAGCAGTAAAAAGAGCAACCCACAGAGATGGGAAGATGAAAAAAACAAGCAAACACATTAAAGTCTGCAGTGAATAAACCAGATTCAGAGTAATTTGGTTCCATAAACTGGTGTCAAGCAAAATAAAAGCCATGTTAGTAATGCTGCCCTTACATGGCACCAGCTTTCACCTTGCAGCGCTGCCAGCACCTTGCAGGCTCCCGGACCAGCTCGCAGCCCTCCTGCAGACCCTTCCCTGCACGCACCCCACTCACTGCAGCCGCCACAGCCCCGGGAGGGGGCGTGTGGGGAAGCAAATACATCCGTGGAAGCTCAGGCGGCTGGTGAGCTGATTTCCCGGGAAAGCCCCTGGGCACAGCTCGCTGTGAAACCCTGGCCCACAGCGTCAGGAGCACAGGGCAACAGCAGGAGCGGCCACTGTCCTGCCAGCACCCTGCAGCACTGGAGTCAGGCAGGAAAAAAGTCCCGGGGGAATCTCCCTCCACTATAACAAGCGCTGCAGGATGCGCGTGTGCGCGCCCTCCTCCCCAGAGGCTACGCAGGCAGCGGGCACTCACCCGCAGGCCCCAGGGCCGCTGCCTGCCTCGCGCTGGGAGCCCGCGGGGCTCGCACCGGGCGGCCGCGGGAGCGGCGCCACTTGCCCCGGCGGCGGCCGGCCAGGGAGCGCGCGGACTCCGTGCGGCGGGAGCCGGGAGCGGGCACCGCGCTCACCTGCGGCTGCCCTGCCACGGAGAGGGGAGCCGGGAGGGCACACAAGCCCCGGGCCCTGCCGCTCGCGGGGACACGCGCCGAGCCGCGGCACTGGGGCTTCGGCGGCRGCGCCTTCCCTCCCCCACACACCGATCTATCCCGAAGGAACAATCTGCGGCAGGAATTTGTGCGCTGCTGTTCCTAACAAGCGATTCAAAGTCTGCAAAGTGGCCAGTGCCACCTAACAGAGGAAGAGCGGCTTTGACCCCGAGGGAGTTTGGACTCGTCCTTCAAGCGCCTTCTAGGCTCTTCTACCTTTCCTGTACCGCACCCACCACTGCTTGGAAAGCTCTGTGGGCAAAGAACRTCTCTAAAATTCACCAGGGGCAGAGCTGGCTGGAAAACAGGTGGTAGACGGGGTGAGGAAATGGCTAAATGTTGAATGAAGGGCTGACACTTTTGCCGGGAAGCAGAAAGCCTTACTCCCCATGCAAGAGGCTTGGACGGAAATTTCCCTTCCAATTCCAACTGCCAAGTGCCCCACGCAGGGTCCTGCAAACTCCTGACAGCGACAGAGGTAGGAAAAAAACTGCTYCTTCCTGTAGCCGCCCTAAAACCAACTTCTGGAGGACAGTGGTTGAAATTTTGCATTTCCCCCAAGCCGTGGGGCTCTTCTGCGCAGCCACAAAGATGGCAATACCTGCGACCAGGTAACAGATCCTCAGGCACAGGGGCTGTTTGAGCTCTACACACTGCGTGACCACACTGGGCATATTCCTACATTAGCGTTTTGATAGATTTCCAGCAGTTTCCATTATAGAAATAGTCCCCTCGCCCCCCCAAAAAAGCAGAATGTTATGATCGAAAAAGTGTATTTGAGACAGACCAGTTCTGATCACATTTCTCTCCAGATCTACTCTATTTATATTAACAATCTAAATATCTCAATATTTAGGAAATAAAAGAAAATGGGTCTAGATCATCCTGACAGTGATTTCGCAGCATCACAGCCTCTTAAGGATTTATGGTAAATCCTTTCCATTGTATTGAAATCCCAACCTATTTATAGGTTCACAATAGCACGGATATAAAGCAATAATCCTCAGTTGTTGACTATAGAGCATAGTGAGAATGCCTTGATGATGATTTTACATGTTCAAAGGGAAAAAAAAAATAAAATATTTAATTCAATCTGTCACCTACTGCATGCCAAGTTTGTGTTCCAGCAGTACAATTCTTCTGAAAGAAGAGAAAAAAAATAAAATAACTCTTGGCCAAGTGTTCTGAATATACAGGCAAACTACACGGCTGTGGCATGCACCAAGTGAGAAAAGCTGTGTTTTTCTATTGAACTGGTTGCTTGTAACACACTTTCATAATTGCACGGAGCACCTTGAAGCCCCTAAGTTAGCCTTCCCTGGGTCAGCTAAGGGGTTATGAAACTAGTGAGCATGGAAAACACTCAGCAGCGAGGGGAAAAAAATGCTGCTTTTTCAAGGAGTTGGCAGGCATTAACGCAGACGGGTACAGTAAGAGAGCAGATTCATCAAGCAACGCCAAAGGGTGGCAGCTTCGGAGCAGCAGACAGCCAACAGGAAAAAAATCGTCAGCAGGACTCGGTCTTACGACGGGACAGCACATCCACCCAACCCTAATCATGCCCGCGCGTAAGGTAGCGGCTCAGCACCGCCAGGAACCTCCAGAACGGTCCTTCATAACCGGCTGCCGTTTGGCAGCCGCCGAGACGGGCTGGGAAGGAGAGGGAGGCAGAGCTGGCGCGTCCTGCTCAGCCCGAGCTCAGTCGCTTGCCACCGCTGCCCCGCGATGCCCGCGGCACCCGGGGCGATGCCCGCGGCACCCGGGGCGATCGATGCCCGCTCCCCCTCTCCCCCCGTCACCGCACAGCTGGCGCCCGCAGATTACCGCTGCCCCCGCACGAGCTGCCGCTCCGCTCTCTGCTTCAGCGAGCGGAGGCAATTTTAACGACAAGCTCGTTTATCAGCAGGGAATGCGGGGCGGGAGGGGGATAAGGAGAAGGACCCAAAGTCTGTTTTCCTCCGCGCCAGGTGGGACTCGCAGCCCAGTCCCACCGGGGACCCCCGCGCCCCGAGGCCGCCTCCCTCGGACCCGAGCGGGTTCCCCCTTGCGGGTCTCACGCACGTCCCGTTCCGACTTCCCGGGCTTGGACACGCGGGGATTGGGGCGCTGCAGGGGGCGCGCGGCCCCTCGCGTGTCCGGGCAGGCAGCAAACTTCCCAAACGGCCCCAAATCCCAAACCCGCCTCCCGCGGGCCGCCCCAGCCCGGCGGCTCCTCCGCCGCCGCTGGCACCTTCGCGGGCAGCGCTGCCAGGAGGCTTTTCTCACCTCCCTTCCTTCTCCTTCCTCGCTTTTTAAATTTACTCTTATTTCTCCTTTGCCTCCTCCCCAGAGGGAGCACCGAGACCCCCGGGCAGCGGCGCGGGCGGCCGGGGCGCAACGGGGCCACCGCGGGCGGCCGGGAGGTGCCTTGGGGCTCRCGGGCCGCTGCTGGCATCAGAATAAAATAAAACTGTGAATAAATTGCAGAARGAGAAATTGAGGGCAGACGGTCTCCAGCGCAGGCACCCTGGGGGAGGCAGGGCCGGCAGCCCCTCTCGCCGCAGCGGGAGACGAGCGTCACCTCGTGCAATAAGGCAGAGACAAATAAAAAAAAAATAAAATAATAACAAATTGCAGAGAAAAAGCAACTTTCCTGCGGCGGGAAGTTCCCTGCGCGGGCAGGCGAGGGGCGCCCCGGGGCAGCCCCCGGGAGCTGCGCGATGGGACGGGCCGGGAGGGCGGCTCGGGGCTCCCGGCCCCGCACCTGCCGCCGCCCGGAGCCGCCGCTCGGCTCCGCTCCGCTCGGCTCCGCGCTGCGGGTGCCTACCTGGGTGCAACATACTTTGGAAGTAGAAGATGACGAGGATGAAGGAGCCCACGGAGGTGACCAGGACCACCCTGCACACCCGGTTCATCCTCATTACTTCCAGCACCGCCGGCTTCATGGCTTATGCCGCGGGGCGGCGGAGAGCAGGAGGGGCCCGCGGGGCGCGCACCGCACCGCCCGCGCCCGCTGTCCTCGCTAGCGCCGAGAGCCGCCCCGCGCCGCCAGCTCCTCCACGGCCGCGCAGGAGCCCGAGCAGCCGCAGCCGCCGCCACCGCCGCGCCGGAGGATGCGCGGCCGCCCGCGCCCTGCATCGGGGGGCGCTAATGCCTGCGCTGGGCGTGACCACGACGCGCGCCAGGCGGAGGGGCGCTCCGCGCGCCGCGCCGGGAGGCGGGGCGGCCGGCGA